TCTAATAGTGCCGATGATGTTGATCTGCTTGATCTGAATCCGTACTGACTCTCAGTGAGTAGTTTTTGTTTATCTATAAATTTTTACTGTCGGTTTTTAAACAGTTTTTCAAGAACTTTTGAGAATTGAGGTAGTAAAGAGACAGGCCTGTAGTTGGTGAAATGGTGTTTGTTTCCAGATTTGTATAGAAGTATAACTTTTGCTATTTTCATTCTGTCTGGAAATCGACCAGTTTGAAATGATAAATTACAGATCTATGTAAATGGTTTTATAATAGCCTCAATGACTCTTTTAACCACTATCTATAAAGATTTCTGATTTTTACAGCAAGTGAAGTGAAAAAGTACAGGCTCTGAAACCTACTTAAAATAAGAAAGTAGAAATAGCTCCTTGAAGAACATTTCTACCACCTATTTTTATGCAAAGTTAGCTGAACCTTTTGCTACATTAATGTAATAGTAATGTAATATTATTAGATAGAGTAAAATAAAGTTTGTATTCCTATCTGTAGTACACAGTTTTGCCTCTTCGTCTCTTTCTATGTGACATACCCTGGTGATTAATACAAGAACAGGACTGTCTTTCATACGTTACTGGAGCTTATACCAGCTGTTAAAACTCCCAGTTAACTTAAAAAAAATGAAATGTTATCCTCAGAAATTGTTCAGATTTTCAAAAATAAAAGCCTTCACTTATTTATCATTTTATTATGATTCCTTAATGTGCCAGGTTTACAAAATAAAAGCACACATTTTTCTTAGTTACAGCACTTAACTGTTTTTGTATCAACTGCTATCTCTACTGATCCTTTTTAGCCAAACAAGCACTTTTGTACATTTACATTTTATTTGATACGGAAGTAGATCCTTAATATACCTGAATTTCTACATTTTCATGATGCCACCCTACCTCAGTTTCTTGCTAGTGTTATCAGGCAATGACAGATATTTGCCATCAAGTTTTTTCCAAATGTTGTCAAGCAAGGGCAATTGCAAAGCAATTTTGGCTGTGCAGGGATAGGATTTAAAAGGTGCCATTATCACATCCGATAAACAACAGCAATTATGTATAATTTCATGTCTTGCCACTGATGTTGAGATTGAAAAAAGACATACATATACACAAGGAAAGGTGGAAGAAAATGGAATTTTGTTGTTTTGATGTGCACTGTGCTTATATTATTTGGGCTTATTCTTGATATTGTGTCTAATGGGATATACACATTCTGCAACTTTCCAGTCACTTTAACTGAAACTGTGTAAACCTTGTGCACTGAAAGTATTAAATAAACATGTCTTTTGAAAAAAAAAATATGCTAGGAACATAATCATTTTTCCAAATTAAAAAAGAGGTACTTTTAGCTGCTCCCTTATTTCCAAAGGTTTGTCATTTCCTGATGCAGCCCTCTCATTTGGAACCAGCATTAGGAGTATACTAGCTTGTGACCACCTGAGGCTGGGTTTGCATCTCCTCCCAGTCTCAAACTGGAGGTCTTTTATGTTCAAAGAATAAACGAATCAATTTAATTTCATAGCATACAGAAAACGAATAAACAAAGCGGTCACTACCTGTAGTTAATTGTACATTTGAGACAATACTCTATAACTTCTTATGTCATGAGAGTATTGCTAAATGCATCACGTTTTCATGCACCATACTATTGTACTACTATGACATCACGGAACCAACAGAGGCAACCCTCTGTGAATGGATAAGTACACAAATTACTTTTTATTGCATAAAATACTTTCTTTCGGCTTCTTATCTTGCAGGTGTGTGTTTATGATCCGTTATTTGGTGTCCACTGCCCTCTACTGGTTGGGAAAGGGCACTACATGCCACTATATGCAGCCCATCAATGCAAGGTTACTTGTATATACAGTTCGGTTGCCAAAAAAAGAGAGAGCACAGAGCTTACTCATTATGAAGAATTCAAATAAAGAACCTAACCCATTTTAATATAACTGACCTCATATCCTGTCTACTATGGTGTGTTTAAAAATATGATGCAAAACTTGGTGGTTTTTTGTTCCACTTCAAATTTCAGTATTCAGATAATAATCATAGTAGTGTAAGCTATTATTGGCCCAGGCGTGAATTCTCTTTGTAAATGAATTACACTTTATGCATCATCTTCTAAGGTAATGCACGCACTTACAGACGCTCACCTACAATGTCACCGTAATGGCTCCAAAAAAAGTACACCACAGTGGCTATATTTATTACATTTAGTTATATTTATTATAATTACTTGTGTAGAACTTTTGCTCTGAATTATCTGACGGACCTCTAACAAGCGGATTGCTCAGCAAAATTATAAAAATAAGGTTTGAAAGCTTAGAACTTCACAGAAATCAACCACAGACAGTGCATTAGTAGTAATAGATGTTGTTCGTCGTCGTCGTCTTCTTCTTGTTATTAGTAGTATCATAGTATTGGTTCTAATGGAAACATTGCATTCATTAATTAAAATGAATCAGGGTCTTTTGACTTGTATGAATACATTTGGCGTTTCACTTTTGAGCAAAAGTACATAAGGTACACATATCTAGAAGCTGCGTTTCCAGAATAATTACAGTTCACAAGACAAACATGTTTTTCGCCCCGCTTTCAGGATGTCACCAGCAACCCGGCTTCGACCTGGTCTCATGGTGCCTCATTAACGTTCTCACCTGCCCACCAGGAGTATTTGGTTACAATTTTTTTTTTAAATTATTATTATTTTTCTCTGATCACGGACTTCTTTGGGCCTATGCTTATCTTACCCCACACACTGACGGGGCGCATTTGAACACTTAGGTCTCCATCTCATCAGCTAATGATTGACTACCTGGTGATTATGGCTGTGCAAGGTCCCTTCTAATCGGCCAGGGGACGACGGCTTGTTCCCATAGATACATCCCAACAGTTGAGCTCCCATGATACCCAGTCTACATAGAGTAGGGAACTACTTAGACTCGCTGGGCTTTTTACCATCACCTGCGGTTTATAGCGGTGCACACGCTGTAGCGGTTACTCCACACACTCCTGTGCAGAGGAGCGGGAATTCTGCAGACAGCTGACATTTGTAACGCAGGGAAACGTCAGCACTTTTATATGCTCCATCATACTTTTAATCAGCAACTTTCTTAAGTGCAGAAAGCAGTTTTTTCCTCCTCTGGATTTTTCTCTGTCCAGTCTGCTGGTTGAAGATTTGCCTCCATTACCCATTTTTACTCAACCCAGAACATTTGACGAGAATGGAACAGCTCTAATGACGTTATAATGGCCCGTACCTCTGAACCGTGAGTTTGTTGTAACGTGTTTTTTCTCTCCGCCCGCTTTTACGCACAAAGATGAGTTCGGAGAGGCCAAACTTTCTCTCTCAACCCGTGGTGAAGAACGTTTTCATGTTTCGAAACGGCGATCCATACTACGATGCTCGGCGGATAGTGATAAACCAAAAGAGGGTGTGCAACTTTGAAACCTTGCTAAGAGAGGTGACGGGCGGCATACAAGCCCCGTTTGGAGCCGTGAGAAACATTTACACACCGAGAGGAGGTCATAAAGTTGACTGCTTGGAGAGCCTGAGGAGCGGGGAGCAGTACGTCGCTGCTGGGAGGGAAAAATTCAAAAAGCTAGAGTAAGCATACATTGTGGTTTAGGCAAATAAGCTAGCCTACTTTTATAAGGCTTTCACGCTGTGTCATTATACAGACGTCTATAAGCATTAGATGCATACAGCTGTAGATGACCAGGAATAAACCATCTACCAGTTGCTGATGCATTCAAGAGGGAAAGCTGGCCCTTAGCAATCATTGTTAATCGAGACTCATGCAAATTTCTTTTGAAATATCCCTACTGTTTCATAATCATTGTAGCTGACATTAGCAAATATATATGTACGCAAATCGAGCCAATTGTCAGACACGGAGCTGAGTCGTGGCTTTAAAGTTTTGCACCAGTACTGACTCACGGCAGTGATAAATGAGATCAGCACTGTAGAGAAGTGTACTCTGCCCTAGCCTAAAAATAAGTGGCCTCATGCAGCAGATAATGAGATTTGAGCAGCCACTTATTCATAGAATGCAATGGAGAAGCAGCAGAGGGGAAGTTAATGTATCCCAGATGCAAAAAGATTGCATACTGTCTCCATCCTCCTTTATTTTTACAGTAAAAACAAGAGAAAGTGCATGCAGATTTATTTTCTTTAAATATTCAGATAAAAATGTTTGGAATATCAGCTGTGATGATGCAGGAACAATTGAAATTAACACTCTCTGTATAACAACTTATTAAATTTTGTGCAGTAAAAAGCTGCACATTTGGTATTTGACTTTACGCGACAAGTGGCTAAATTCTAGCTGTTTAACTCTTGGTACAGCTTTCAGCAGTTAGCAAATTCTCATCCCTAACTGCTGAAAAACGTTGTTCTGCATGTGTGGGGTGCAGAATACCTTACAGAACAGGAAACCTAACCTTTACGTCACGTTATCTCTTGTTTTTAGTTATCTACAGATTGGCTCCAGGAAGAAGAAAATGATGCAGACCGTTCCAATGCAGGTATGGCAAAGCGGCTTCAAAAGTCAGTAAGATCCACGCTGTTATAGGGTAACAGTGTTAACAGCCTGGAATTCCCAGGATTTTTTTTAATAGCTGGCTTCAAACTAACAATTAGAAGAGATGGTTTATATAATTTACAGTTCCAATAATCCAGCTAGACTCCTCAAATGCTCTCTTACTACATCAAGTCCACAGGTTGCATTAGATTTAGTTTCAGACACTTTAGTGTGTTGAAGTGGCTACATTTCAACTACAAAGTTGTTATGTCCAATTTTTAACATCCAAAACTGCTTCAAAATGAAAAATATATTTGGGAACACTCACAGCATAAAGATTTTATGAAGATCCTTGAAGAAAGGTGTTATGTTTAGCATTCCCCCTAATTGTTCTCTGTGAGGAATCACTGTGTTGTCGTCTCAGTTTCCATGCATTATTGATTTATGGATCATAATCATCCCTCCTTTTAATACATCTTTAATGCATCAATGAAGTCAGAGCCAAAGGAGCTTAAAGTCAGGTAGCCCACAGGTTCATGACCTCCTTATTTTTTTTTAACTAATATAAAATGTATCCTGGGGAAAGCACAGAATGGTCTAGTAGAACCCAAAATAACAAATTTTGCTGACTTCATTTGCATTATGGACAAGATGTCAGAAAATAAAGAGGTGCAGAATTTGACGTGCTAATTGCTGTCAGAGCAAATAATGGGGCACTCCAAATTTTGTCAGGGTATTCTAAAAAGTGTGCAGCCCATTTTTAAAATTATTGTAATTTATTTTTTTTAACTTATGACCACAACTTTAAAGACACTAGCTGTCATCATCTGCTCCTCTTGACTGTAACGTGTTTATCGTTCAAAGAGAACGTGCTCTTGATTATGTCTCATCACCCGCTGCAAGAACTTTCATTATAGATGACCTTGTTAATTGTTGTTTACTTCACTGGTATCTAGCGAGTGCACACTCAAGATATAACTGAGTAGGTGTGTGATGTGGCAGAGGTTCCATTTAAATAATGCACTGAAAGAACAAGGAGTTTCCTTTGTTTTGTTTTTTTTCTGCCAAGTGGACTATGTACAAGGACGCTAAAACGAGCCGTGGGGACTTTTTGCCCACTATAGAATGAAAGATCAGATACTGATAAACAAATCGATAGATAAAAAACTTGTGCGATGTCCCTAGAGACCGATGCATGCCTTGCCTTGCTTGGTTTCTTCCTGATTTGGATTTGATTTCAGGATTTTTGATTGTGGTGTTTTATCATCTTCTGTGGTTTCCAAAGCCTCTCTCTGTAGTATGTTGTAGCATTTTCTCCCGGTGTGCAGTGTGCAGTTGGCTTGTTGTTGAAAACTGGTGTACCACTGAACATGCACCGCCCTTTATTTATCTAAGATTTTTTAATTTTACTTCTGACCTTCACACCTCAGTTGCCAGGTTGCACTCACACACACCAGAAGACTTTTAATATAACTCCTCCCTCATCCCATTCTCCCCTAGGATGCAAGTCTCACAGTAGGTTACAGGTGTTATGGGACAAAACCTGCAGAGCTTACTCTCTGCAGCCTCACATCACAGGGGAGCTCATTCTTTTGCTGTCACGGACATTACGGATGATTTTAGTGTGGACAATAGTGGATTTTCTTTCCCTTTAGAAGTAAAAGCTTTGATGTTGCTCTTTCTTTATTTTGTACTTTGGTGTACTAAAATATGGTTAAAATGATTTTATAAAGCCATTAAATTACTGTCAAACTGTTGTTGCTAGTTTTGACTCTAGAGCTTGCATGCTATTATTAACCCTGATGAGTCTTTTGTATCCAGTATTTAGGATGAAGGGTTAGTAAAGTGCCCATTCTGTTTGGACTACAGTATGAGCATTGGTCTGCAAAGTCCCTAAAGTTTATACAGGTCTGTTGTTATGAGCCTCCAGATCCCACGTGGACAAGGTGATTCACCAACAAACTTTTAACTTAGTGCTGTTATCACAAAACATCAACATTACTCATTCAGCTTAATGCATTATTAAAAACTGCACTAATAGGTTTTTTCTTCCAGATAAATTTAATTAACAGCTGTATGTTTGATATAGACTTATTGACACTTTTTGACTGTTTCTTTTTTTCTCTTTTTTTTTTTTTAGATTAAACCATTTCCACCAAATAGATTCATTGTGTCAGCTCGATTCCTGAAACCCATCAAGGAGCCATGCACCATATTGTAAGCTGAATTTTCATTTTTCAAGTTTTTAACTTCACTTTGGGAAAAAATCTTCTTAAATTGTCCCATTATTTTGGATTAAATACACAATTTAAATATATGACCAATTTGGACATAGAAAAGAAGTAGATGTAGTAGATGGGTAGCGTAAGAAAAACTGGACTTGACAATGGAAACTGAAGCAGTTTGCACCAAAGTTCTGCCTTTTTTTTTTTAACTGTGCATTTCCCTTCCATAGTGTGGTGGCAAATGGTGATATATTGAACTCCGCAGTGAGGCTGTTGGTCCACCAGAGGATACTGGGCCAGTTTGACAAGATACTAGAAATGATTACAGAGAAGATGGGTTTAAGAGTCCTCGGGGGAGTTAGAAGGTAGGTGGACAATTTCAAAAAACAAAAAACTGCATAAATGTACTGCATTTCTTTGCAAACTTTATTATATAAACTAATTTGCATGAGACACATACACTTCCGTTACAGCACATTATTCCCAATTTCATATATTTGCATTATTGAATTTTGATTTGATTTTTGATCTCAAAATGTATTTACTACCGATGCTAAAACGGATTTTCTTTTGTTAAGTAAAAATATACACTACCAGTCAAAAATTTGGACACACCTTCTCATTCAGTTATATTGTAGGTATATGCTAAAGACACCAAATATAAGACTTTCAAATATATAACATGGTTTGAGTTATTTAACTTTTTTGTTTACTATACAATTCCATATGTGTTCATTCATAGTGTTGATGCCTTCAGTGTGAATCAATAATGTAAATAGTCAGAAAAATAAAGAAAAACCATTAAATGTGAAGCTGTGTCTAAACTTTTAACTGGTAGTCTATCTGCTCTGACACTATATGAAACATACATTCTACTGGCACAACAAAAGTCGGTATGCTTCATTTTTCAACCAGCTCAATAAACGATCACATGGAGCAAGCACATGATGTAAACAATAAGGCTTTTGATTCTCTTTGTGTGTTCTAGTCTCTTTACCTATGAAGGCCAACAGGTGACTGAGGGGAATCAGCTGGAGAGTGGTCAGCTTTATGTGGCTGTGGGAAGAGAAAAGTTTAAGAAGCTTCCTTACAGTGATCTGCTCTTCACCAAACCCAGAGGGACAAGGCGAGTCAGAGGGTAAAGAAAGTAACACTTTGTCTTAACACCGAGTGCTTGATTTAAAAACAAAAATGAAGACTTGACATTTACTAAACTGTCACACATCTAAGATCTGCAAAATGATGTCATTAGGTTTGAAATTTTGCATTTGATTTAGCCTGCATTAAAAATAAACAAAAGCATTTTTACAATAGAATTGCACAGGAATAGCAGTGAGTCATGAACACCGTTAATATCCATCACTATGTGTAGTCTTGAGTCATTCATGAAGAGCTGTGGAACTTTAAAAATAGAATACTATGGTGACCAGGGATGCTTCTTGGAAACCGTATAGTTTGTGTTTAGATCTTTCCACTGGGGCAACTAATTACTCCTTTAGGGCTACAAATCTGCTTTTAATTCCCTTGAAAACTACAATCCTCACGCATGTTCCATCTGTATGAAGGTGTTCTGTTTGAAATGATTATGATTACAGATAGATATTATAGGCACGTACACACAACTATGAAGAGCTTAATTATAGACAGACTAAAAACAAACATAGATATTAGGAAGTTTGTGAACAGATGTTATTTAAGATAAGATAAGACTTTATTGATTCCACGATGGGGAGATTTTTGCGTTACCTCAGCTCAGGTACAGATATCAGAAGGAAAATACAAAAAATACAAATAAAATACAAACAAATAAAAAAGAAGTAAGATAATGCACTATATACAATGGTAGCATACACAGTATGCAATTATGGATATGGTTGTGGAAATATGCAAGACATAAACTATATAGCTTAAAATAACTTTTCTACCACTACTGTTCCTATGTATAGACATGTACATGCACACACATGTACACACTAAATATACCTGCACACGTCATGTTCAAATGTATTACACTTCAATCCTTTATGTATAGGTTTCATGTATGTAAGTCAATATTCGTTAATCATTTTTGCAGTATCAAATATATATGTCAACACTTTTTGTCTGTTTTCTTTTTTTCACAGAATGAAATCTTATTCTTTGCCGCCCATCTACAGGTTCTCAAAACAGAGTGAAAATGTCAGTACTCCACGTACCGTTTCCAATATTTTGTGAGCTGTTATTTATTTATATTTTATAATCCAAAACTTTTCCAGGATTCTTTAACATGCAAAGCACAGAGAAAAGATTTTCTCTGAAAAATTCTGCTGGTTTAATTATTTAGGGATGGCTAGCAAATAATGATGTGAAAACATGGTGGTCTAGACTCCCCAGTCCTAAATTTTAAGCCTGAATTAAATTTAGGATCAAGTGGACTTGCAGAATTGTATTTCATTGTGAATATAAAATATTTAGTCATGTTTCTAAAAAAAAAAAAAAAAAAAAACCCGTTATGGTTCATTTCAAAATCCCACCTTTGGATAAACTGATGCAGCAAACCCAAGACGTAAGTCTGTTTTTTAGTCTCCATCATCATGATTTTGAGAAGTTTCTTACTAACTAAATCTGACTGCTACTTTCTGCAGGGTAAGTCAATGGTCCAGAGCAGTGACAGTGGAGATGGAGAGTCTCCTAAGGCCTCGCCTCCAAGCCACAACAAGGAACACCTGTCCTCCATTGTAAGAGAGATTTCTCAGGCCAGACTGCTCTCCTTAAAGAAGATTAAGAGCAGACAGAGCTTGACTCCTGGTGCATCTGACAATGGTAATGCAAAAAACACGAAAACGATCACCGTGAATAGAAGTGAAATTTTAATATCTACACCTGTTTGTTTTCATGGTGGCTATTAAGCTCAGCGGGGCTGTATTCATCCCGAAGTCAAAGAAAGGAAAGCATTGCTACTGTATATAGTATAGGTTTATATTTAAGGGTTACTTTGACTACACTGGATAAACAATATAGCAGTGAAATGCTACTTTAATTAGTTTAATGTCATATCTCCTCTTGCTCATATTATTCTGGGGGTTGCATTTGTAATTATATCCTTAAGTAGTTTGTTTGTAATATATATTTAAACATAGAGTTATAATCAGTAGTATTTACTTGTTTCAACACCGTCAAAAAAGTCACATTTTAATAAAAATGAGCTAGTGAAGGAAAATCATACAAAAGGAATCTAATCAAAGTTTGTTTGACATATTATTACCCAAGAACTAAAATAGTTTAGTTCATGGGTAATAATATACCCAAGAACCAATAGTTGGCAACACTCATGCTCCTGTGATTCTGTCATCATCATCACTACTTTCTGTATTCATTTTTCATTTATAGAGTATGGTAGATGTGTGCAAGTGGAAGGTATCAGAATAATCTACTTCTTTAAGAATTTGCCATCCCATGTTTCACAAGTGGTGTTTATGTACTGCTGAGAGTTTAACATACACAAAAATATGATGTAATGCTTTGTCACTGGAATCTTATGTAACCTGCTGCATTCATAAATGTCCACACAGTGGCACTGTTGCTCTGCAAAATATTTGACATGAAATATTAAAAGTAGGTCTAACATGATGACATTAACCTTTATTACAACAAACACATTACGTCATCTTCTTGTGATACGTATATAATAATGTCCTACAGAAAGTTTGGCACCTGCCATCCTTTTTTTTTTTGGAAATTAGGAGGTTTTGCTGCTCTGGGACTCTTAATCTCATTATTATTATTATTCATCCATCTATCCATTCATCCATTGTCTTTATGATTATCAGTTTTTACAGTCAAAGGGAAGCAAATCTTCTGCAGACTGCTGCTGACCTTGTTATAACTGATTCTGTGGTATGAACCACATTACGTCATGTTGTGGCTCTTAATAGATTTTGCCTGTTTGCTCTCTGGCAGGGGATTTGACAGCAGAACCCCCAAAAGAGCATGGAGAATTTGTGACTGTGGTTCAGAGGAGGTGGCTTTTTGCATCAAACGAGAGAACTGAGGAACGTGTGTGTGTGTGTGTGTGTTGGTATGTTCATGTCTGCATTTGTAGCCTGTAATGTCACCCTCAAAATTGCCTGTATCAGATTGTGTGGCACGTCATATTACAGGCACAGAAAAGCATACTGCATTGTTGGTCCCCTTGGATGACATTGAGCAAAAATTACATTAACAGACAGACATCTCAGAAAACAAAATCTGACATAAGAGATCTTTAAATGGGTTTGAGGACATTTCACTTTCTCATGCAGTCCTCACCGTTTGACCTGTACAATGCTTTCTTAGTCCTTTCATGTTAGTCAGACACAATATTTTCCTTATTTATTTGGTTTCATAGAAAGACGGAGTGTTTGTCTCTGTCCATGGTCCTGAATTCACTCTAAGCAGTATATTTAATTCCCAAAGACATCTTTATTCTTTTTATTTGTTGCTTTTTTTTGTTGTTTTGTTTTGTTTTTTTGGTTCTCAAATGAAACATGAACAAATACTGGTTTACACAACAACAACAACAATAAAAATGTCCCTTTAGCCTACCATCTTAGGTAGGTTAAATTCAGTGTTGTGTTAGTATTTGGCTTTGCAACAGGAACACAGTGTTCATATCACCTTTTATGGTGATTGTAAGCAGCACAGAGGTGTTTGGTGTTATTTTCCCTTTGGGAAATCCTGCCCTGGCCGGGCATGAGGTAAATACACCCCGCTCTGGTGCCAAAAGGAACACAGCCAAAAGGTTGCCAGACTGGCAGAGGCTGTGGAAAGTACAAAGCATGAAACCCACACTTCAGATCTCTGATGTGTTGGAACATTGGAACCAAGACAAAAGATATTATATGATTATAAAAGCATCAATTCATTATAAATGTATTTGTCAAAGATGGCTTTGGATGAGGGATGAGACTGTAAGGACAAGCAAGCCGATAACAGCGGGGAAAAAAAGACAAACGAGGCTGAGTGACCCTGTAACCGGAGATTCTCCCTCTGCAGTGCACTCACTGTGTTTACAACATGGAGTTTAGTTTTTGAGTGCGTGTGTCTATGTGTGTGTGTGTGTGTTCACCAGTCCCCGTTACTCACCGTCTATTGTAAAGCCTTTACCTTTGCTGTTTCATTAGGGAACACAATGGTGAGTGAGAGCAGAGAGAAGGGAGAGGTGGTGTGACATCTCATGCAGCAAACTTGGAATGAATGACATGAATTAGACCTTAATATAACAAAGAGACACAGCTTAACCCTTGCATCCTGTTCAGGTCAAATGTAGCCTTTTTTGACATTTGACAGCAGAAAACGTACCCTAAATGTCATGCTTTTGACCTGGATTTTAAGACTTTTTATAAAGTGACCCAAAATACACAAGATGTATTTAAAAATTGTATTGTATAATATAAATTGTTGTACCCTGAGGCTGTTCAGGGTCAAATTTGACCCATACAATTGCAATTGATTTTGGATATATATCAATATTCACCAAAGTATTCCCAGCCAGCCAAGAGACTTAAGGTCAAATTTGCTAATGTCTTATGCCAGTGTGATCTGGGTTTTGGCATTAAAAAAGTACTCTTGGCATTGAGAGTGCAGTGATAAGATTGTTTGGAAGAGATGGGAGCTCAAAGATTTTTGCACCAGAACCTGTTGTGTCGTATTTCTGGGATTTCCTTTCTCAAGTCATAAAATATAAAGAGGAGGATATTTAAATCAAGCATCATGCAGTTATGTAGTATGTGGGAAGCATATGTGAAAATGCCACATACGTAAGGTTTTAGTGGTTAAGCATAATAACTCCCAACAGTTCCAGAATGTTCTCGTGATTTCCGCTTTTGATAAAATATGTTTAAATTCATTATATTTGTTATGTTTTCATGTGTTGAGTAAAACAGGGCATGCTACTGTGTGATGGTAGATACCATCCAGTAGCCTAAACGATACATTCTTCCTGCTCTCTGAAACATTAATTAAGGATTATTAACAATTTGTTAATTTCAGAGATGCTATTTAGACATTCTAAATTGACCTGTAGTTCAAAACACACTTAATATGAAGGGAATTAACCCAGACTATACTGTGAAGGCATGAAACATAACCAGTATCTGTGGGTTAAAAGACTTAACCAGAAAGACACATGGCTTGTTGGTTTGGTCTTTATTATTCTTTTAAACTTATTGGTACAATTTAGTCAGTGTTAGCCTTTTCTTTCAAAAACAGCTTGAATGGAAGCAATTAGCAGTTGTTGCTAGCCTCAAAATAGAAATGGGATGTTTATCAGTGTTCTCTTTCTTAAATGGCCTCTGTGGCCAATTCAGTTAATGGCTCTCCTGGGAAAAGAAGGGGAATGCAGCAGAACCAAAAGGGGAGACAAAGAAAAGCGTAACCAAAAAAGGAGAAAAGGATGTGTTTAGACAGGTGATTGGGGATAAAGAAGGAGAGAAGAGGGAATAAAAAGCTGAGATGATGAAGTGAGTAGAACATTATGGAGGTGGAGAAGGGAGGAAAAGGGAAAACAGGTGGAATCAAACAGTGAATTTGATGAATAACCAAGGGATGATGAAGCATGAGTACTGGATGGAATAAAAAAAAAAAACGCTCAGAGAGATATTAACGGGTAGAGGGATGGGTGGGGTTTGGATAATTGCCTTTCATTTGGATAATCTCTCCATTTAGAGTCATCAAAGCAGATTTTTAGTTGCCTGGGCCCCTCGCTGGCGCCAAATTGCTGCTCTGAAAATCAACAAAAGAGCCTTGTACTTCAGGAAGAAATTACTGATAAAAAGGTATGCACAAGAGGAGAGAGAGGAAAGGTAAAGGCAGAGCAGGGTTCTACTGATTATCTGAACTTTTACAGGCTGTGTACATGCCTACTTATTACATTAACACTGTTGGTGGGGGGTGGATGAGGCACTAATTAAAGGGTCAGGTTTATTTTGTTCCCTAAATAACTTTTTGTGTGATTAAATTTGTGGAATACTTTTAATCCAGGATGCTTTTTCTTGTAGGAAGAAATAATAGCACACAATGCAATAAATAGTGGATGTAAGTTACTATAGGAAAATTTGTGGAAAATCTGGATTCTTTGCAGCTTGAAACCCTCAGAAATAGGGTTAAAAAATGCATCAGCTTAGCTAAAAATGGGCTTTCTATTTCTACTTCTATTTACTTACAGAGCAGCCAATATTCCAACATGGTTCATCATGCCTTTTATTTAAAAATATAAATCTAGAGATGTTGAATTTCACACACATGATTTCTGCACTTGCATTAATACTTCAAGGGCATTCACTTTACACAGAACCTTCATGTCTGAATAGCATGGCTCCCTTCTTTTCTTGTACTTTATCTTTTTGAAGGTAGCAGAAGCCAGTTGAATTTCTGTTGTATTTAAGTATGTTTTATGAAGGATGTACAGCATACATTTTCTCAAAAGGGCTTTGATTTGAAGTCAGTTTTAAATAAGAAAGGGAACAAAAACCATTCTTTGTATTATTTGAAAGTTGAATGTGAGAGAAATAAAAATTGCTGGACATGAGTGAGTGAGCTTGTGTGCATGTGTGTTTGTGTGATTATGCTTGTCTCTGCATGCCTTTGCGTATGCACAAGCCAACCAACCAGATCAAACCTCAGCCTCTGGTGTCATAAAATGTGATTCTGCTGGGGGGAATTAGCCCTGTTAGCATATGTATCTATAATGCTTGTCAGAGTGAAATGGGGTTCAAACCAGTGTTAGGAGGCAGGAGACATGTACACAAAGAGAGTGTGCATCTCAAATCGTGTGCCTGTGTCAAAAAAGAGGCTAAGCAGTGAGGGATGAATGATGGCACCACTTTTTTTTTTTCTTTCATTTGCTAAGTTCTGACAACGTGTGCTGTGTGTGTGTGCGCACACATGTCTGTTTTTATGTGCATTTGTGCACACGCTCATATGTCAAATTTCCGACATCACCGCCATGCTTGTCTGTTCTTCGTGGATTCTTCTATTCCTTTCATCTCCTTCCTTTTCACTACAGCAGAAAAGGGTTCTTCATGACCCATTGATGCAGGATTACTGGATTAAAGAGCAGGGAATCTGTACTAATCTGCCACATTCATCTGTTAACAAGTGTTTTGGCTGCGACATACAACAGCACCGGCTGTGATGGTGATGTGTTAAGGTGATGTGTGACACTCTTATTGACACAAATATTCCTCATGTCTATCAGGTTCAATCTCTACTTTTCAGGCTGGTCTTTTTTTTTAGCATTTCTCTTCATTTGGCCATCTAAAGTTTATATTATTTGTTAAAGAGAGGTTTAGGAATGCAAGCAAATGGCATCAACGATGCATTTTAAAATGGGTTTTGCTTTCTTTTCTTCTAGTTTTAGTCCATATAATGTAGTTTAGAGGATAAAGAGAACATGAACAACTATCAGAAAAGATATAAATCAATTAGTAATTAAATAAATTTACAGAAGACTATCAGTGCATGAATTATTAGAGAAAGGAATTGCGTTCAGTGTTTTCTTAGATTTGATGATTAAAACTCAACAGCATAAGTACTTGGACTTGGAATAAAATGGTCATGCTCTCATGTTTTTTTCAGTTATGTAGAAAGGAAAAGAAATCAGATTTTAATATGTGTTCATATTGCACTTAGACATTCATTCAGATTAAAACCTTTGTTTAATGAAAACGGTCAATGGCAAGATTTCAGGCAACTTTGAGAACAGTGCAGGGGAAAAAGCTCCATGAATTATTTAAACATTTAACAGAAGCTGTGACCTTTATAAATATTACTTTGGCTGTCTGGTTGCAACATTGTTAAGCAAAGGTTTTCTTTGATTTAATGTCAAAGCTATCTAAGCACAGAGCATATGAGGAATTTTCTACGCAAAAGTGCATGGCATTTTTTTTTTCCAGATGTATCTTGGAAACAAATCTCAAAGATAAAGGCTATACATAAGAAATACTTAATGCCACAGTGTAGACAGCTTGTGTCTATTCTTAATGCTAGACATTTCAATATACCATATCTTTTAAAAGGACATGGCAAGGTTTTGCACTTCCATTATATAACAATAATATTTAGCAATGGCAACAAATGCCAAGATAGTGATCCATTGTATTGAGTCAAGCTCCAAAACTGGTGGATCTTACCATTCTAATAATACCAACAAAGGGAGATTCCAGCTGTCTTTATGAGTAAAGTCCTTAGGGTTGATTTGGAGTAAGTGACATAAGACTAACCAAATCTAAATGAACAAATCATGACCAATATAAGTATCAAGTCATGTTAGTGTGGTATCACAGAATGAAAGAGTTAGACCAGTCAACCATTTTTATTCTCAGCTGTTCAGCTTTTCTGTGTTTCCGATTTATGTAAAGCCAGCAGCAGCTGGGTCTCCCATGTAGCCATACAGTCATTGCATGTTTTAACAGGACCCTGGTCAGTGACCGGAGCGCACATGCAGAGTGGCAGCATTCCAAATCACTGTGCATGTTGTTTTACACCCAACTATAACTCGGGTACAGGCTGAGTGGATTAAATCATCTGGGTGTAAATATGCAATTTACTGTACTGTCCAGTGAAATACAAGGAGTGATGTGTGAAGTGATTCAGGTCCATTAAGTAGTATTTCAAGACTTGAGAATTTATTAGCTGCAGTACAGTTAATGCTAAAGTAGACCAGGCTTGTGGAGGCCAAGCAAATAAATAAATAAAAGCACACATGTGTATGATGTAGTGTGGTGCATCCACAGTGTAGTAGTTTACACACTCACTTAACAAAACCGCTCCAGCTTGATCCTGAGAGGAGACACGAGTCCCTCGAGGGTTGTGTCAGGAAGGGCATCTCGCTAAATCAAACATGCAGAGTGACCCCCTTGTGAATAAGGGATCAGCAGAAACTGGCTTTACTGTGTAAAGCAGTGATTTGTTTTGCTCTGAGTTACAACCTACTGCAAGTGTCACCCTGTCAGAGGTTATTATGCCTGGTGATCATCAGCACTGAAAATGTTGCAATAACAAATGTCTATCCTACCTAGTATCCACAGATACTAGACAGAGCACAGTAGTTTTTTTTTTTTCCTGTAAGGAAGATTTGGTTAAAAAAACAAGGTAAAGAAGAGTTTTACCTGGGTTAATGGTTTTCTAAAAAGTCCCAACACAAATTAGAGAATAATTTGCAGAACAACAAAAAGAACAGTGTAGATTATACCACTCACTCACAGATTCCTTTGCAATAGTGGTTAAAAATGTCCTGTGGAGAAGTTTATTGGACTTTAAAGTGCTTCCTGAAGGAGTGGAAAATCTTTGAAACATTCTTGTAGAATGCATCTCTCTGCTCATGTTTGATTATTAAGTTCTGTATTAACCTCTTCACTACACCTTCTAAGAACATCACATGATTTCAGCAATCCTTTACATCTGGTAGGCAAAATGATAAAATACCTGCTTTGCTACTGTGCTAAGACTTGAATTTGGTGAAATGTCCTTTGGCAACTTTTTAACAATGCATTTCAGGATTTAGATCAGCAAAAAAACCCTGCATCGCTAAAAGCAGACTGTATTTGTGTGTGCACGTGTGCAATCTATCCAGCCTATCACTTCATCTTGAGTTGTGTTTTATTGCATTTCTCTGGAGCGACAATCATCTGTAACTTTACCTTCCAAGATAATGCCAGCAAGAGTCGTTTATATGAGTAATTATATCTGCTTGCAGTTGCATACAATTTTACTTCTTACTAATGGATGCAGCACATCATCTGAAATGTGGGTGTGCTCTGTCTGCTTATGCCTTGTGGAGGAGGGAGTGTGTGTGTGTGTTTGCCTGATTATGAAAGGAAAAGTCAGACACATTTTACACTCAGTTGCACACACATACATAAAGCAGTCCAACCATTTGCAAAGCCAGACTCTCCGGATATACTGGAATGAGAAAGAAGGGGGAGATTCTAAATATCATATTTAATTTGATTTAGCATTTTCATGAGCCTGTTCCTCATCCTTAAATCATGTTAAGATGTTTAGAGTCATAGCAGCTCCTCCTCTGCTTACTGCTTACACTGAATCGCTTGGCCCTCACTCCTAATGAATGTGGGGTGATTTCCATAAAATATTCTTAAAGAGGTCTGTTATTATTACCATAACGTTTCATCTCCCACCATGGCTAAACTTCAATCAGTTTTGCATTTGAAATGCATTAAATGTCTCCATAAACTCTTCTAATCTCTACCGGAGTCATTTTTCTTCCTTAACCGGTATGTGTAGAAAGGAAAACTAATATTAAAGATATTAATTGTACTGTTCTTTTTTTCATTCCTGATTAGAAATTTCAGTCTCATCCAATGTTTCAAAACAAGTGTGTAATTATGTTGTTTATCAGAGCGTATACTTGTCTTCCTCTTATGTTTAGGGTTAATTACTCCAAGGTCTTTGATGCACATGCTCACATGAAAATAGAAAAGCCCCGTATCCATTTTCACACTCCAACAGAACTGCCTTACTGAGCTGAGCTTGTTTGGAGTTGTAGTACGATGTCTTCATTTAAATTCCTGGACTCCCAGTCTCACTTTACAGTTGTTTGTATTGTGAATGATGAAACGGTGTTTCTTTGGGGGGAACTGGAGGATTTCTTCTACAGGCCTCTAGTCTGTTGGATGATTATCATGGGTCATCATATTTGTTTTGTGATATCATACAAAAGCAATGGTTAAAGGAGAAAACCATCTACCTTGCATACCTGTGGTGATGATTAGGATGATTACTGCAGTGGTGATAATAAAGATGAAGACAATGTTAAACATTCAGTGTAAAATTTAGATCACTAAATGAGCTTATAAAATGTTTACTGGCTCTCTCCTGCACACTTCCCATTGTCTAGGGAAAGTTGTTTTCTTGCAACAAATTATCTTGGGTGCTTTTCCTTTAGACCAGCAGGTGTCACACTTGTGCTGCATGTATTCAAATTTGGCAACATCTGCTGAATAAAAGCTGAATAATTTCAACAAATCTTCGACTGAAGGATGAATAAAAGCACCCATATTTATGGGACAGATTTTCTGGGTTTGTAAAATGAATTAATTTGCAGTGAGTGTGAAAATTTTGGTTTCAGGGTCTTGAAAAGATGAGCAGTGGGCACATAAAGGAACACTTTGGCTCTTTTATGCCCAAAGAATGACAAGATTTGAGGGCAAGTTTTTACAGGTGTGACACTATATTCATCTGCTTTTTTTTTTTTTTTACATGTATTCATTAACATTGTCAATTATTATTATTTTACTGTATTTTACATATTTCTTTCTGAATGAGTCCAGTTAAGTCTACTGCATCTATACCAGGATAGTAGGACACTCTTTATTTACCTTTCCTTTATGTTGTACTGGCCACAACAAGCCTTTTCAGTATTCAATATTGCACATTAGGATGGAACACAACTGGAAAACGTGCTTTAACTTGTTTTTTTCAGTACTTTAAGGAATCAAATACCTCTCTGTAAAATGAGCTTATGATTTTGCATGCAGAGCTAATACTGTCTGTTTTTCTAGATGAACTGGAACAGAAGTTTGATGAAGGAAATGCTGATTGCCAAACACTACAAGACAATGGAGCTGAAGCGGTATAAACATACACTACTCACTCTCTTTTTATTTTACATATATATTTACAGTCATTTTTATACATAATTCCTCATTTTCAGACTCACAAGTTATTAAACAAAGCATTTTTAAATAGGATTGTTCTTAATACTACTAATGAAAGTCAGTGGTGGTAGTCTAGTCTACCTGACTGACAGCCTGAAGTCTAGAACCCATGGACATCACCAAATGCTGTTCTTCCTCCTTCTTGAGGTGGCAGGTTTTTACTCCAGCCACATTCAGTAGTTGCGTTTTTGTGGGTCTCTCTGCTTGGCCATTGAAAAATATCAGATTTTTTTTGTCTTGACATATTCTTGGGTTGCTTTTGCAGTTTGCACTGTGAAGCACTGTCTGATCAGTTTTGCAGCATTTGGCTGAATCGGAGCAGAGAGTACAACCCTGTACACTTCACAGTTTATCCTGCTACTTTGTCATTCACATCATAAATAAACACTAGTGACCTGGTTTCAGTAGCCATACATTCCCATATGTCCATCATGTTTGACAGATGATGTGGTATGCTTCGGAACATGGGCTATTCCTTTTCTTCTTCATGCTCCTTTCCATGATTCTTGATTTCATCTGACCAAAGAACAGATGAAAACATTGTTCCAGAACTGTGTAGGCTCTTTTAGATATTTGCTATGTTCTTCCCATTCTTCAGTGGAACCACTGATTTGCACCTTCTCTTTCCATTTATGAAAGCATCTCTTCATTTTAGACTAAGCTCCTTGATAGTTTTCTTGACTGGTCTAGAAGTCGTGAAGGCTTTTTTCGTAACCAACAAACGATGGTGTTCCAGTCCTTTTGGTTTTGCTGAGCTGGCCAGTGCATAGGTCTCATAGGTTTTTGTTTTTTTCATGTCTTTGGGACATCACATTGAGAATTCGAGGGAAAAGATAACAAATACTTGGATTCATCTCCAGATCTTTTTCTGCTTAATTTTTGATAAGATTATGAGGGGACGGACTGGTTTCACCTGGGCATGAAACTGCTTGTCAGTTAACTGTTCAATTACTTCAGGCGTCTGAAAACTATGTATAAAAATGACTGTAATTCCTAAACAGTTACAGTATGGCAATAATTGATTGCTGTTTATCGTTTCTTGATTCTTGATGTTTGATTTAAAATCTACTGTGCGGGTGTACAGAGGCAGATAGCACCAGCGAACCATAGCATCAACAGAACAGTGTAAATCACAGAAAGAATTCAACATACTGCATCTGTTAAAATATTTAGAGATATTAATTGCTTCTGTGGTTATACTGCATTACAGAAACTTGATGCTACTGATACAAATGAAACAGAGGAGAATGTTGAAAAGCCAGAAGAAAAAGAGGAGGTTGCCACTGAAAATGGCAGAGAAGAAGGTGATTTACCTAGCAGTGAAAACAAGATGAATAACCAGGAGACAAACGGTGAAAAAGAGGGGGGAGGTGGAGGAAAAACAGAAATCGATGGACAAAAAGATGGAAAAGGAGAAGACATAGCAGAAAATGAGAAGAAAGTGGAGGAAAAGAAGGAGGATCCAGAAAAGAATAAGAAGGTGTTTAATGGTGAAGAGTATGGATCTAGCAGTGATAAGGCTCTAGACAGTAAGGAGACTGAGGATGGAAACAATATGTCTTCTCAAGGTGAAAGGAGGAAAATTGTGGAAGATGAGAAGGAAGATAAAGACCACACTGAGGTAGAAAAAAGCACTACGGATCACACTAATGATGTAGACACAGTGGAGGAACAGAAAAAGACGGGAAACGGCAACGATCCAGAGACGACTCAGTCAGATAACGAGACTAAAGAGAACGATAGCAGTAGAAGTAGCAGAGGCAACAGTAATCAAGAAGAGGATGAGAACGAAACAAAAGAGGGCACTACCAAAGAGTCAGGTGAAGAAGAAGAGAGCAAGGTGAATGCTGAGGTCAGTGGAGAAGATAATGAGGTAGAAGGTGAAGCAGAGCTCAACACAGATGAGAAAAAATGAACCAGCAAAGATGCCGAGTGCACACACAGGGGAAGATGGTGATCAAGAGAGGCAAGACGAAAGTGAAAAATTTAAAGGATAGGAAAAAACACCAAGTTCTTTATACTGAAAATATGAAATTACAAAATCTATTTGTATAATGAAAGTGACAGATGAAAATTTATAGAATTTTATAGAAAACAAAGCAATATAAAAGCAGTTTTGCAATGCTGAGCATGTAACCTAAGTCTTTAAATGGTTGTCTGCTAAATGGCGCAACTACAGAAACACCATATGGATCAAAACTTTATAACTTTCATGTTTGAAACAGAATACACATATAAAATCCATATATTCTTATTTTTGCATTAAAATGTTCTTAACTAATAGGTTGCTTTATTGTTTCTTTACACACTGTCTGTGAGCACTGTTGTGAGTGACGCAGAGAAATGATAATATAATAATATCCTTTGAAATTTTTCGAAAGAATGGTTATGCCTCTCATAGAAACTCATACAAATGTATTTAACGAGACATATATTATTGTTTGTTTTTGAATGGTAAGCTAATTTATAAAAAATTCAGATCTTCTTACTAAATGAGTGCTTCCATCTGTAGGGCTAAAGTTGTCACTGAATGATTCGGTTAGCATCAAAGTGATGTGCATCATATAAATTTCACATACCAGAACACTCGTGCAAGATTTTTGTCCATTATATTTTTAGTCCCCTCTAACAGCAGGATCAACACATCACACTAGTCAACATCTATTATAACAATGATGTTTCATCCCTGTAATGCAGTTCCAGAGACTTACAGAATTATTCCCAGTCTACAAGTGCAAGTGGAGGCCCAGAACCTTACTGTTACGCCTAATGTTGATTTCTGTCACTGAACCATATTTTCAATGTCTAATTTTTAAAGGCAGTTTCATGTCATATTATTTTGTAATGTTGCTGCTATGCCAATGTCCATCTGCTTCCAGAAAAATTAAACTGAGGGAAAAAAAGACAGTTTTTTTGTCTTCTGTAACTGATACTTCAGTGATGAAATGCATTAGTCAATGGAATAGTAAAAATAAAATCATTTAAAAAAGTGATGATGATGTATGATATTGGAAATTAATTTCACAGCAGGCGTAAAGCTTTTTTAAAAAGTTCACTGAGTTTACTACACTCTCCATTCCACAAGAGTTGAGATGTACGTGTAAAATGTAAATACAAGAGATTTAAACGTTTTAATGTCCCATAAGCCCGTTTTTCATTCACTTTAGAACATAGAATGATATCAAATATTTAAACTGAGAAAACTATTTTGCAAAAGAAGAAGAAGAAAAAAAAAGGTCAGGATTCCAACTGCTCAGTAGTTTTCAGTCCTACTTTCCTCACTTTTCTTTTCATGATGTGCCAAATGTTTAGCACCTGGACTTTTCTATTAGAAGGCCTTGTTGTAGTAGATGCAGTATGCAGTTTAGTGTCTTATACAATCTGAAAAAGATTCCATCTGCATAGAAGCATGGGCACTAATGCACCTCCACACCATCAGTGATAAAGGCTTTGTAACTAAGTATCGGTAACAACCTGGATGGTCCCTCTCCTCTATACTCTGGAGGATGTGATGTCCATGCTTTTCAAAAAGAATCTCAAATTTCAATTCTTTTCATGGTGGAACAGCTTTCCACTTTGACTCAGTGTATTTGGATCATGTTCACAGATGTAGATTTTTCTGTGGATCACCAACACGTTCTGGAAGTTTTCCTGAGCCCATGCAGAATCCATCCTGTTTTTAATGCAGTGCTGCCTGAGGTCTCAAATATCACATTCCTGTCCCTTCCGCACAGAGATTTCGCCAGACTCTGTGTAGTAGATGTGATATTTAAAGTCTTTGCAATTTTACATTCAGGGACATTATTCAGATTTTTTTTACAAATTGGACAATTTGTCACTGCCTCTGTAAAATGCTCAGTCATTTTACTGACCTGTTGCCAGTTAACCTACTTAGTTGCAAAATGTTCCTCCTGCTGTTTCTTTTTCAGTAGCATTTATATTTCCAACCCCATCACAACTTTTTGAGATGTGTTGCTGCCAAAGTCAAAATACAATTTTTCCTGAAATAGTAAAACAACTATGTTTTCTTTTCTCTTTGGTGAATAAAATATCGGTTTATGAGATTTTCAAATCATCAGATTCTGTTTTTATTTACAGCGTCCCAACTTTGCATTAGATCTAGCTCTTCAGTCTGTCTTAGTGAAACTGCACTTTGGTCTTTAGCTGCTTTCATCCTGACAGGAAGAAAAGTGATATATTTTTGGAGAGCCACTCTTCTCACTCTCATTCAGTGATTTTAATTTGTCATTTTTTTTCCTGAAACAAAGTTCCATAAATCCACTATAAACCACCAGCTGCAGGCAGGAAATATGAACTCTGATCTAATTCAGTATGTATGATGGCCCCACTGCCCGCTCATCCCTGCAGCTGTTCAAATTGGGATTCATGCAGTCGATGTGTTTGTGAGTCACCATCCCAAGAGAGATAAGGAACCTGGCTGAGAGGGAGGAGGAAGAACGAGAGAGCAAAGAGCAGGAGACGCAGAAAGCAAAGGAGGTGGGGGCAGGAGTGTGTGAGTCATAAGGCCTGCCTGGTTGAGGTGATGATCCTCAAGATGCTATTTCTGGCGTCACCATTAATTCTGTGTTATCTCCTCCACCAGCTACTCTGTTTTCTGAGTGTGTATGCATGTGGGCGTGTTCAGTAAGGCCCTAAATAACACACCCTCCAGACTGATTGCAAGGGGGGCTTCTACAATGTAAAAATGAACATTATTAACATATTGTTTGAATTAATTTAAATCTATAATTATTTAAACATTGGTTTGAATCAATAATCATAAATTACAATTTTTTCTTGATTAAGAAAAAAGGGAAGGCACCAGATTTTAAAGAACACAAAGTCCTGCTTAGCTAGTATTGTACAGTATATTTAAATAACCCTGCAGGGAATTTAGGAAGTAAAAGTGTCAGTTGTTTGGCAACTGTGAGATATTAAAGGAAAACAGCAGGGAAGATTAAAGATTAAAATAAGATCAAAAACATTTGACCCTTGTGACAACAGTGAAGTATTTTTTATTTCTGTAGGGAGACATAAACTAAGCCACTTTATACTCCCACTTTATACCACTTTATACCTCTCACTTCTGTTGGGAGGTATAAAGTTTTATCAACAGTTAAGCCACCAGGCTGTCAGTTTACTGCACAGTGTGCTGCAATACAGTTTTCACACATTTCTGATCCACCGATATGTCAGTTTTATTGTGCTGTTCGAAAAATAGACATACTGCATGTAGACACTGATTTATATGTGTTCTTTATCCGATCTGTTCGCAAATAAGGGTAGCATCGTTTTTTATTTAGTGGGATGATCCACTGTTACATCAGGAAAGACTTCAAGTTAGATGTATAGCAGAAAAAAAATATCCATTATGGATTAGAGTTTGTAATGCAGCAGGAAACAGCATAACATTACAAACCAGCACTGCCTGTTAAAGTCCTGGCCGCACTAGAAGGTTTGTCCATAATGGCTTGTTTAACAGCTTGGCTTTTCTTCATGACCCGCAGCTCAGTGGCTGTGTATCTTGAAAATGAAATGCCTTGCTTATTACTAGGTTGTTTTGTTTTGTTTTTGTAGTTACAGCTATGCTTCTGTGTTGCATCTGAGAGTAAATGTGTTAAAATGACACCAGGACTTTTTAAATAATAGTAGAAAGAAGATTGGAGGTAATTAGAATAATATTGAAAAGGTCAACTTACATTGACAATAGTAGTCAGCATAGCAAATCAACATCTTATACAGTAAATATACAAGCTGTGCTGCAAGAATTTGATGATGAGATATGGTTTAAAAAAAAAACTGAAGCTTGTATCTTGGACAGTAGAATTGTTCTAACCAAGTACAGATTTTTTTTACAGTACAGGTTTGTTTATAATGATGAAACAAAGGATACATGTTAAGAAAAACAAACAAAAACAAGCTTTTAAAGTGGTAGGGTAGGATTACAGTAATTGTAATAAATATATGTAAAACACATGAGGACACAGTGTGTTAAAAAGCAGAAAAGCATGGCTGTTACCAGCTTATTGTGCTTCTAAGTTACAGTTACAGTGTGAATTCTTGTATAGCATAAAGGAATGAATAAAACAGGAACCGTCTTAATAATCCCTCCTTTAGTTTCACATCCAGTACATAAGCAAATTCTCTATAGTGTAAAAAATGTGGTCCTGGAATTTAACAGCTCTCCGGTGTTAAATATTGCTGACTGTGATATAAATTATTGAGTTTCAAATTTTGTGTGTGATAGTAGGAAGGCATTTATTGAATCTCTTTAATTCATCCATTAGTGCTGTCAGATACAATGTTGCTGCGATCCCATTGGAGAGCTGAACGTGCTCTCATCTTCCCTCCGTTATGTAACCTGTGTGTCACATTGTCTCTCTCGATGCACCCATCTTCATTTTCATGAGTAGCACTGACTCATGTCTGGTAGCTATTAGCATTTTGATTCAAAACAGCGTCTGCTCTGATGGATCTGTGTGTGTCTATGAGCCTTTTGTCACAGGGTGAAAAGGAAACAATGGAAAGGAAAAGGTGGGTAAGCCAGTGTTTAGGTATTAAAAACTTAAAAATAAAGATAGAAGACATGATGAATGTCTTATTTGCTGTATGTTGGAAGTAATCTGACATATCATTGCTGTTCTGCATGCTCTGTCTGGTTCAATGTAACTTTCATCAGCCTGTCTGCTCTTGTGTATTGATTCTGTCTGAAGATTTACTGAAGGAAACAAGGTCACTGGCCTAATAAGACAGAAGATGGACACAGAATCTCCCCATACTGTCTCTTCTAATCTGCATTTATGTCTAATCTGTTAGGACACTGTGAACCTTTAGAAAGGTTAAGACCTTTAAGTTACTACTTTATCGGAAAGGGAAAAAAAAGGTATTATAAAACGATGTCGTGCTTTGTCAGCCTGGATGAACGTTTCAGGTAAATATAGTACATTTACACTTTTAACAGCTAATAATTCCAAACATGCACTCATCCTGATGGTCACTAGTCAGAGGTAATGAGTGTTAACTGGTACATTTGATCATTTCTGGGAATGGGGGACAAAAATTTCAAATATGCCACTTGCTGCCCATCGCCCTCCAGCAGTAACATCATTGCCTTTTACAAAAGTAAGAATTCTCTCAACAGTAAACAAACAGAAAACACGCTCTGTGGAAACTACTGCACTGTGTCACTATTCTGCAGATGTCTTTTCCAGTGAAATAAAAAAAAATGTTTTCTTAATATTAAAGTTTCATAACATCTGATAAATAAATCCCCTATATTTTGTTCATCCTTTCTAAGTTTTTAAAATCTCATTTTAATGTCAAACAAAATAAGATGAGGAAGCAATACTATCTGTTATGTAAGCTGACCTTTTAAAAAGATAAACTGCACACATGGATCGACATACACACACCGGTCCTCTTACAACTTTCACTTTATGCCTTGATCTTAGCCTTGATCAGGGCTCTGACTTTGTGGTCACTGGCTGGATGTTCTGAACTTTGGTAAGTGTGACTGGCACCTTTCCTTCTCCGGGAGTTGGTGCTCTCATTATTGGAGTACCTGTGGCATAAGCAGTTACTGTGATTTAGATATTCATATTCATATACAAACGCAGAGCCATTTCAACAACCTTTACATTTATTCTGCTTACATTAATTTGAACGTGTTATACTGGGAAAGAAGAGAATGAAAACTTACCAACTGTTGCTTGCAGATCTGCCAACCTCTCCTTAAACTTCTGTTGCAGAAACAATTCTTCTTTGGAGTAGCTTTTGGCAAAGGCAGACAGCAGGAGACCCACAGCCATGGAGGTGCCTCCCACACAGAACAGCACTGCACCAGTCAGCTTACAAACATCCAGTGCACGGTTGAAACTGACGGCATGGCTGTTACAAGAACAGTTCAAAGCAATCATTTATTTGCCACCAAGTCTTTTTGTTCAATATTTATGCAACTATTTAGAGTTATTTCTAAATTTAAACATATGCATGTCCTACTAGAACACTGTTCTTGGACATTATTGTCAAGACTAAGAAGTAACACTTCAAATAAAGTTCATGATCTGTTAATTGTAAGTCTATGTAACCTTTACTATTTCAGAATAGCAAAGGTTACCTAAATTCTTTCCCACTCGTACATTGTACTGTTTCTATACCTGTCAACAAAGAGTAGATCATCTTCACCAAATGCTTCAATCTTGGCTGGAGTGGCATAACCTACCAAAACAACAATGAGGCCCGCAAACAAGATCAAGGTACCGAACGTGAGACAGACCTGTGAAAAGAAGAAGTCAAAAAACAACGAAAGTCAAAAACATATATTGCTATAGTTGTAAATAATTTGGTTAATTTGGTTTATTTTCAGTTCCATTATATTGGTGTTGTTTTGAACAAGCTAAGGGTTAATCTGACCTTCCAGAGTAAAGAGCTCCACCTGCTAGGCAATCTCTGAATCTGAAAATCTTCATCACGTTCCCAGATAGAAGCTGTGCAGTCCTCATAAAACTGGATAAGGAATCAAAGAAAAGTACAGGCTTTCTTAAAATTCACATCTTGAACCTAAACCTACAAGAAATGAAGGTTTGGTGATTTTGTGCTTTTATCCGTTTGTGAGTTTCATAGGAGACGTCTTACTTTGTGTGGGTGCTGAGTCTGGTTACACTGTTACCTGGTGTAGGTAGGAGCGGACGCCATACTGCTGGTAGTTCCCACCAGTTTGAACTTGCTCACTATATTCTGACCCACAGATCTCTGAGCAAGAAGTCATCCTTCACATCTGTCTACCTGAGAACACACATAAAAAACACACATCTCCAATAACCTTTAAGCCTGATTTAATTCAAGAGATCTGGGAGGAAACTAAACTCTTGCACCTCTTCTTAATTATATAATGTACATATCTCCCAATATTGGAAACCTCATTTCAATGGGGGAAAATCTAGCTCAAAAACTTCTCGATTCAGCAAGGCAAGAAAAAAAAATGACAGTCAAAAGGAAAGTGTGGGTTTAAATATAATGGGATGTATCTTCATATTCAAAGATTTAGATTTACCGTGAAAGCAGCCTGATATCAGTGGCATTACTAAAGCCTAATAGTACAGCCTTCTGCTCACCACAGCCAAAGCCGCATGGGTGAGGCTATTTCTGTTTTTATACATCATACTTTCAGTAGGAGTTAAAAAAGGCAGTTTGTTTATTTTATTTTTTGTTGTTGTTTGCATACACAGTTTCTGGACAAACTGTTTAAACGCATAATTGCATACACATGTGCAGTACATTTATGCTTTTGTACACATAAGCATGTAGTCACTGTTGTTATGTAACAATGTACTGAAGGAATGGGTGCCATAGGGCATTGAGTTTAATGATGCATTCTGCTTGTCTGCTGTTATAAAATAAAGCGTGACATATTACTCTTTGGATCCAATAATGTTTCAGCTAAATGCAGAGGGTGCTGACATACATAGAAAAATCTTTTTTGTAATGTTTAAAGAAAAACTATTAACAAAGAAAAACTATTAACAAACATAACTGCATATTGGACTTTGCCTCAACAGTGAAATATGTGAAATAAGTAACTATTAGGTGTTAGTTAAAAACTAATAATATCTGTGACCATATGTGAATAGATTTTATGAACATTAATCCCCTACTGACTGAGAGCTAACTGCATTGCACAGTTCTGCTCTGTACAAACCAATTATGCTTCATGTTTTTGTTAGCTAATACTAAATCGACTATTTCTGCTGGACTGAATTACAATAAGAAAAGGGTTTAATTGTGGGAAGGAAATATTGAATCCATATATGTTAAAATGTGATCATGCTCTTTCCAGTAAGACACTGGTATACAATGCATTGTGGTTGGAATAATGAAAAAAAAACGAAGTGTCTAACCTCATAAGAAAACCACTGGCCTGATATAGTAAAACTCATCAGTTAGATGTCAGACATAATAGTACATGAAATTACATACCTCTTGTAGCTGGAACCACATTATACCAAACTAGCGAGTAAATTATTTACAATATTATTATTAAAAGAAAAACATTATTTTTTTAAATTAAATTCAATTTCTTTATTGTCCCACAAGGGGAAATTAGTTTAGTTTAGCAGCAGGATATAAATAAACAGAACAATACTATAAAATAATAATGACAATAATAATAGTATATAATAATATATAATAATCATCTATATAAATTCATAGTTAATTACACATTACTAAATAACTAAATTACTAAATAACTTCACTTTTAACTAATTAGTAATCTTATACAATATGTTTTTTTCCATCAGTTTCTATGATATCAAATTTAAAAAATCATTAATAATATAGTATTGTGCATTACATCATAGTCAATGTCAGACGATAACACCTCACACACATCAGCACACGTTGCATTTTATAAAACATATTGGTTGTTTGTTTGTTAGTTTGGTTTTAATCATTCCTAGACGCTATCATTCTTAGGTAATAATGGTTTATTTGCTGATCAGTGATCCAAACCTCTTGTGAAGGACCTCTTGCTCACATTTGCATGCACTGGACATTTATAATATGCAGGGTTAATGGTGTAAACCACAACATTAAGCTGCCCAAACCTAACCATCTAGCGAAGAAAACGTTAACAGTAATTGAAACAGATTGTGATCTTAATGTTCAAACTCCTGTTACACTTTACATATATTATAAACCTGATGTTCACCTTTGTAATAGTCATTCAAATAATGTTAATAGAGGCAGTAAACAATATTATCAGTCATAATCTGAAGCTTTACAGTTAATATCTAAACAACATTTTTAAATGAAAGTTCTACAGCCAAATTATATGT